TCGGGTCCCGGTTCTTATCCCCTCACCTGCGGGCTGGCCGTGGACCGACTTCATGATGTCTTCCCGGCGACTCATGAAGGAAGATTTGATGACCAGTCGCTATCTTTACAAGCCCAAAAGGGGCTGTGTGTCCGGCTCCAGGGGATCCTGAGAGGAGAGACAATGTCGACCAGCCACGGCCCCAGGAACCCTCACGGTCGGGAAACGCCAGGTAACGGGCTGCAGGGAACCTTTATACTCCCCGCCCTGTTCCCATTGGCTGAGCCGCTGGCTCCTGGCCGACTCTCATTGGGTGGAGTTTCAGACACGGAAGGCAGCGAAGGCCCAATCGGAGAGACAGAAGTGGCCCAGGGCCAGAGGGGTTGGCTGAGAAGACATGAAGGGTAGGAGCAGGTGAGGGCTGCTCCTGGGGGTGTGGTCCGACGGCGCAGGTGACGGGGAAATGAAGCCTGGAGCAGGGGCGGAGGGGAAAGGGTAGGGACGGGAGGGGGGAGCGAAGGGGGAAGAAAGCGGGGAAAGGGTAGGGGTGGAGGGAAGGGCAAGGAAAGGAAGGTAGGAGTGGGGCGGGGGAGGGGAGGGGCGGAGGAAGGGTAAGGGTGGAGGGAAAGAAAGGGTATGGGCGAGGTGTGGGGTGAAAGTTGGGGCGGGGGGATGGAAAGGTAGGGGTGGAGGGAGGGGGAAGGGTAAGGGAAGGAAGGGTAGGGGTGGGGCGGGGGGAAAGGTTAGGGGCAGGGGCGGAGGAAGGGTAGGTTGGGGAGAGGGGCAGGGGGAGTGGAGGGGCAGAGTAAGGGTGGGTTTCAGAAAGGGCAGGATGTGAGATGGCCTCTTTCTTTTGTCTGAAAATGGGCTGGGAAGGCAGCTTTTGTTTGATATGGTCAAGAACTGCTAGTGGCTAATATTCTGAGGGAAGCTGAGGCTCACTGAGAGCAAAGAGCCCATGGTCTCACAGCTGGGTTGAGAGCCAGGACTGGGGGACACTCAGGGTTCCCTAGGAGTCCTTGGGTGGTTCGAGTGGTTAAGCGCTCCACTAGTAGCCAAAAGGTTGGCAGTGCGAAGTCCCCCAGAGGCGCCTGGGCAGACCAGCCAGGCGGCCTGCTTCTGAAAGGCCACAGCACTGAAAACCCCATCAAGCAGTTCTCTGCATCCATGGGTCTCCTCGAGTGAGAGTGACTCTGTGGGCAACTAACTGCTGATAAAACGGGGCTCCCCAGCTCCGACGCCTGTGCGCTCCACCCAGGGCTGTTCTCGCACTGGCAGCTACTCTACACATTCTCCTGTGGACGTCTTTCCCTCCCACAGCCAGCCTCTCCCGTCTCCACAGGACGCAGGCACCACTGGGGAATGGCAGCAGACTCAGGTTGGCCATCAAACAAGCCTCTGAACTGCTCTTACTAGCATTTAATCAACCAGTTTTTAAACGCTGGTATCACGCTTTTCTGGTAAGTGTTCCAGGATAGCCCTGGGTAAAGAAATGGATGCAGTCACTGTCCTCAGGTGCCATCTACTACAATGGTCATCTTGAGAGGGGTCCTGGGAACCACGCCTACTGGACCATGCTGTGTAAAACTTGCAGCAGACTGATGACTGTGTAACCACAAACCTTGATGATCAAATGCTTGGCCAGGACAAAATATAGCCAATGGCACACTCCACACACCTGTGTGCTATGCTAAAACATACATCACTCTAGTTTGTGTGGCCAGAAGGCTACTAAATTGCGAAGGCAACAGGAGTCTGACGGGAGCCATCGCCTTCTCCCTAGTCATGCTACTACCATCTAGCACCTCGACTTCTGCCTTACTTTCTAACTGGGTCTCCTTTTATCGACAGTTCTTCTTTTCCATCTGTTCTCCATTCTGAAACCAGACAGCTCAGATTTGATCGGTATTCTGCTCTCCCCACCCTTAACTCTGCCATGATTTTTGAGTTGGAGAAATGACACAGAGCATCTGAAGATGTAGTTGGCATGCTTGGCCCCTCACAAGGTAACTGAGATCTTACTTCCACGGCCCCTCAATTCTGGTTTCTGTTAATTCACCCAGGCAGCCTCTCCTTGGCATTGTTCCTCTCTGTCCATGATTTTTCATCCCATTCCTACTGAAAGATCACACCTGGCTTGATGCACTGACACCAGTCTTTGGATATAACAGGGAATTGGTTGATTACCTTTGCAAACACAACTGGTCCAATAAACAGCTTCATGGTGGATGGAGAAAAGATTGAAGTTGTCAAAGATTTCGTATTAGTTGGCTCTACAATCACCACCAATGGAAGCAGCAGTCAAGACATCAGACAACATACTGCACTGGGCAAATCTGCTGCAAAAGACTTCTTTCAAGTGGTGACGAGCAAAGCTGTCTCCTTGAAGACTAAAGTGTGCCTAACCCAGGCTCCGGTATTTTCAATCACCTCCTATGCATGCGACAGCTGGACAATGAATAAGAAAGACTGAAGAAGAATTGAGGCTTTTGAGTCATGGTGTTGGAGAAGAATGCTAAGAGTACCATGGTCTGCTAAAAGGACTAACAAATCTGTCCTGGAAGAAGTGCAGCCGGAATGCTCCTTGGAAGCAAGAATGGCCAGACTTCGTCTCACCTGCTTTGGTCACATTGTCAGAAGGGACCATTCCCTGGAAAAGGATTTCATGATTGGTAAAATGGAGGTCAATGAAGAAGGGGGAGGCCCTCAAAGAGATGGATAGGCACAGTGGCTGCAACAATGGGCTCAGGTATAGCAAGCATTGTGAAGCTGGCACAAGATTGTTCTGCTGTGCATAGGGTTGCTATGAGTCGGAGACAACTCGACAGCAACTAACAACCACCACCACCACCACCACCTTTGCTAAACTCTTAAATATTATTAATGCTTTGAGGTGGATTTCCAAATGTAGGTAAGAGCAATTCAGGAAGTACAGGGCACACACTCTTGACACAGCTCCAGAAGCAAAATAACGTGCTCATTTACGGTTTATCTGAGACCATTCAATTGTGATATATGAAGCACACCTGAGCAAAAAGATTAAAAATCTTTAACCCTCAAAACACATGATGACATCAGCCATTCTAACGTCCCAGCTTCCCACTGAGATAGGAAAGACTTTCCACGGGCTTGATTCTGCTCCTACCCATAGATACCAAGTTCCTAAGGTCTCCAGCATCTCATCTACAAGATGGCCCTCTCACTTGGGGCCAATTATTTCCACTCCTTCCAAGTAAAACAGCCACATTGGTGAACATGCCTGATGCCTACACCACTCTTCAATCTCAAGCTATCTACACTTAATTATGTAGAACTTATTCTAAACCCCATATTCTTTAATTCTCTTAGGTGAAATTACAGTTGAAGCCAGAGGCCTCAAGTTGCAATAGCAGGAACCAAGAGAGGATAACAGACTGTTAACAAATGTCATAGGGAAATGCAGAACACCGATTTGGACATTACAGTGTTAAAAAACCAATGTATGTATATATATGTATGTGAATGTGGTCGAATTGAATCCAACTCATAGCAGCCCCTCCTTGGGTTTCCAAGGCGGTATTTCTACAGAAGTAGATTGCCCAGTCTTCCTTCTGAAGAATGGCTGGTGGGTTTGAACCGACAGCTAGGAATATTTGAAAGCCATATATATATATACAGTCGTTAGGTGCCATTTAGTCAATTCTGACTCAAAGTGACCCCATGTATAACAGGATGAATCAGTGCCTGGTCCTGTGCCACCCTCACAATAGTAGCTATGTTTGAGCCCACTGTTGCAGCCACTGTGTCCACCCACATATACATATGGCAGATACAAGGTCCTTTCTTACCAGACTCCTCCGTACCTTGTCATCACTAAGTTAAATTCTGGCTTGTTTCTCAAGAAGTTCCACTGTGACTTACTGACTTTTTTCTTTCTTTGGTGGTGGTGGTGGGGGTTTAGGTGGGGAGGAGGACAAACACGATGACAACAATGGTTTAAAATTATGTAACGCTTCATCTCGAAGCTGTGACTTTTTTGTTGTAGGAAACTATTTGCTTAACATTTTTTACAACAATCTGAACTTTCCCCACATTTTGATAACCATGAAGTCATTCTGAAACAAAGTTAACAGGGCAGTCCTGTTATCCTTTGTACTTGCAAGGTCTGTCCTTCACAGATGTTCCAGACCCTAGGTTCTGGGAGTGTGCCACCTTTCCCAAAAATGATGAGTGGCTCACTGTGCCTGAATTGATTGTGCACACAATGTGGTTTATTCTGAATACCTGCTTTTTCCTTCTGAGAATCTGCAATTTTGGTAGGTGATAGACAAATAGCACTGATGTGACCAGTCTCCAGTAAAAATCCAGGGCATGGTGTCTCTAAGAAGCTTCTTGGTAGACATTTCATGTTTCGTCACAACTTGCTGACGGAGGTTAAATTAAGCACATGTTGTGCCACCTTTTTGCAACAAGACTCTTGAAGATAGCGTCTGCTTTCTCGATTTCAGCCCATGTGCCTTTTCCTTTGATTTCCATATCCCTATGCTGTAAGAACTCACAGCCTTGAGTACAAGAAGCTGAGTCCTGAGTCTTCTGGCGGATCGCAGAAACCAGGGGTGGTCTTAGGACTTCCACCACATCATTCATGGAGTTCTATAATCTGGTAACTTACCAAATTGGCCATGTAAAATCCATGTAGATCCTTTTACAGGTCATCATGTCATAAATGGTGCCACCTGTATACACAGCTTTGCAGTAAACACTCTGTGAGGGAGCCAAAAATTATAATAAAAATATTTTGCTGTGTGCAGCCATTCATGCATGAACTGTGTACTAAGGAATAAAAGGCAGAATAAACAGAACTGGGCAGTGGCTGAACGTGAGGAAGAAGAACAGAAAGGAATGAAGGCTGAGGTGTCTGCCTTGGGCAACAAGGCAGAAACTAGTGGGATTCTTGGAGATGCTTTGCAGGCATGTCAAACACATCTAAAGCCAAACACGTCTAAACCTTTCTTTACTCTTCTCCAAATGCATACATTATTCTTATTTCTACATAGATATGCAGAATATCATGCAGCCAGAAAAAAGAATGAGTTTGGATTATCCCACTCAACCTATAGGGAGGCCAAGATGCATTGTTAAATAAGAAAAAGACAAAAGCAAACCCAAGCCACAGCTATTGAGTTGAATGTGACTCACAGCCACCCTACAGGACAGAGGACAGCTACCACATAGGTTGTCCAAGCCTGTAAATCTTTATAGAAGCAGACTGCCACATCTTTCTCCCGAGGAGCATGTGGTGGGTTCAAACCACCAACCTTCTGGATGGCAGCTGAGTACTTTAACCACTGTGCCATCAAGGCTCCTAAGATGAGAAAAAATAGAGATAATGTGTATTGTATGATCCAATTTTCTAACAGGGAGATCAGGAAAACAAAGACCCACACTGTGAGCAGCCATATAGTAATATGGCATGGATTCTGGAGTCAGACTGGACTCCAATCCCTACTCCCACATTTAATAATCATGCAATGCTGGGTATATTCCTTAAACTTTCTGTGCCTCAGTTTTCTGGTGGGTAAATGAAAATAACATACCTCCAAATGGAAAGGAAATGTTCACAGCAAAAGATTCGCTGTTTCAGAGAGGAAGAATGAACAATGGAATGGGTAAAAGCAATGGGAGATTATCCTTCTCAAGAGTTTTGAAAAACACGTTTGATAGTTGAAGCAAAAATTACATTATCCAACATGGTGCTCAAGAAATACTTAAGAAAATTATTTTACATATTAGGGAGTTAAAGGGACTAGATAGGAGTAAAATTTCTATGTATCAGTCAAAGTGCTCAAATGTTGATACCAGTAGACTGCAATAAGTTATGTGTAGACAATGCAATATCTAGAATCACTAAAAAGAAACAAACAAACAAAAACTATATAAAGAAATATACCCAAATTACAAATCTATCAAGATAGAATTCTAAAAAGTGTTGAAGTAGCACAGGAAACAAAAAAACAATATAAAGAAACCCCAATAATAATAATAAAAGAGGACATGAGAAAATATCACAAAATGGTAGACTTAAACCATAATATATCAACAATTACTTTAAATGTAAATGGTTTAAATATATCAATTAAAAGGCAGAAATCAGGAGAATGGATATAAAAGCATGATCCAACTTCAAGCTGTTCACAAGAAAATAATTCAAATATAATGATACAGGGAAGGTTTAAAATAAAACGATGGAAAAATATGAAGCATGGAAACAATCATAAAATACAAGAGTGGCTATATTAATATCATATAAATTATACTTTAAAGTCAAGAAAATTAACAGGCACAAAGAAGGACATTACATAATGATACATGGCTATCCTAAATAAGTATGCACCAAAAAGAGCTCTGAAGTTCATGAAGTAAAACTTGACAGAACTTAAAGGAGAAACAGTCAATTCCACAACTATAGTGGGGTATTCAGCACCACTCTCAGAAATGGAAAGAAATACTAGACAAAAAAAAATCAGTAAGCGTACAGAAAATCTGAGTGATAGCATCAACCAACAGGATCTCACTGACATTTATAGAAAATTCAACCCAACAAGAGCAGAATATATGTTTTTATCATGCGACCTTGGGACATTTACCAAGAGAGACCATTTCCTGGCTCATAAAACAAACTTCACCAAATTTAAATGTTTTGAAATCACATAGAGCATGTATTCAGACCAAACATGAAACAAAACTAGAAATCAGTAACAACAACAACAACAACAAAAACCCACAGGAAATACTATACACTCTAGAAGTCTCAAAAAGAATCAAGAAATATATAGAACTGAATAAAAATGTAATTAAAACTTACGTAAATTTGTGGGGTGGACCTAAAACAAAGGGGTGAAAATTTGTGGAACTAAGAATATTAAACAAATTTTAAATAATAAGAATAAAAAGAGAGGTATTACTTTACCCAGCTGCAAGATTTGCCATATAGCTCCAGCTACAAAATTGAAAAAGTAGATCAGGATCGAGAAAAAATGTTTTAGGTGTTGCAAACCACATGAATAAAGTGTTTTTTAAAACTCACAACAGTCCTAACTGTGCAAGAAAACGTGCCCATTCGTACATGTGTCCTTATCTCCTTAAATATAAATGTATTCATGATCAAGCCTGCATATTTCTTATAGACTTAGGCTCCTGATGAATAGAGACAATACTGTAGAACAAAGAAGACGTTCAAAAAGTTTTCAGCCCTGCCCTCAACTGACTAAACTCTCCTGACGCTAGACAGCAGTGAATGTATTTACAAGAAACAACACTCCCCTCTCCCCAGATAAAGTAAGGATGTAATGACAAATTGTCATACGCTTGGCAGAGAATCTGAAAGCTGCTGTTTCCATTTTTTTTCTATATTCTCTTCTTGGTCTCCTTCTTCTTTTAAAAAATATTCCTGAGATAACTCTGCAGTGTAAACTAAGAGAGAAATGTGGCTGAAGGCTGTCCTAAGTGCATAATGACCACTGGGTCTCTCCTGGATGAATTCCCAGGGAATTCCTAGTGTCTAGGCAGGACAGTTTCTACTATGACTCTTTAGATGACTAGCTAAGATCACCACAGAACACTTCCTCACAGGGATGACACCTGTGAGCGTTCCCTTTGGTATGAACGATCAGATGCTGAGTAAGAAGGTTCCTCTGGCCAAAGATTTTCCTCAGTAGTTACATTCAAAAAGTCCTTCCCCAACAGGAGTTCCTGGATGTTGACGGAGGCCTGTCCACTGTCAAAAGGTCTCTCCACATCTGTCACACTGATGGGGCTTCTCCCAGTGTGAGTCCTTTGGTGCTGAGTGAGGGATGAGCTACGACAGAAGGCCTTCCCACATTCACTGCACTCATACGGCTTCTCTCGAGTGTGGATGATCGAGTGTCTAATGAGATTTGTGCTCCAGCAAAAAGTCTTGCCACATTCGATGCATTCATAGGGCTTCTCTCCACTGTGAATCCGCTGGTGTCGCGTGAGGCCAGACCTGCGGCTGAAGGCCTTCCCACACTCGATGCACTCATGGGGCTTCTCCCCAGTGTGGATAGTGTAGTGGCGAATGAGGTCCGCCCGACTGCTGAAGGCTTTCCCACACTCTTTGCACTCAAATGGTTTTTCCCCAGTGTGGGCCCTCTTATGCAAGATATAAGTAGAGCAGTGGGTAAAAGCCTTCCCACACTCGCTGCACACATAGGGCTTCTCCCCAGTGTGGATCCGCTGGTGTCTCTTGAGGTAGGACCTGTGGTTGAAGGCTTTTCCGCACTCTGTGCACTCAAAGGGCTTCTCCCCAGTGTGGATGATGTAGTGGTGAATGAGGGCTGCACTCTCACAGAAGGCCTTCCCACACTCGCTGCACTCATAGGGCTTCTCCCCAGTATGGGTCTGCTGGTGCCACATGAGGTAGGACCTGTGTTTGAAGACCTTCCCACACTCAAAGCACTCGTAGGGATTCTCTCCGCTGTGAATGAGGTAGTGTCGGATGAAGCCCGGCCGATCACGAAAGGCTTTTCCACACTCTTTGCAGACAAACGGTTTTTCTCCTGTGTGGCTCCTTTTGTGCAGGACAAATGTGGAGCGGTGAGTGAAGGCCTTCCCACACTCACTGCACTTATAGGGCTTCTCTCCACTGTGGATCCGCTGGTGCTGTGTAAGGTGGGACCTGCGGTTGAAGGCCTTCCCACACTCTCTGCACTCGTAAGGCTTCTCCCCAGTGTGGACCATGTGGTGTTGAAGGAGATATGTGCTCTTTCTAAAGAATTTCCCACACTCTGTGCACTCATAGGGCTTCACTCCAGAGTGAATCCGCTCGTGCTGAGCAAGGAGACGTTTTTTGTTAAACACTTTCCCACATTCCTTGCATGTATAGGAATTTCTTTCTTCGTGAGTTGTGGCATCTTTAGCTGGTCCATGTGAGTCACTATCATGGAGAGCATCTCCTGCAGAGACTGGCTCCTGTACAACTCCTGAACAGGTACCATCATCTGTCCCCAGATCATCATGGTCAGTGCTCACTTTCCTAGGGAGATGCTCCTTTTGGGGGTCTACTCCTGGTTTCATGTGCTGGTGCTGCATTTCCAGTGGCCACTCCTGATCCCTGTCTTGACCCAGCTGGGAGTCCCTGGAGGTTCTGTGTGTCAGCTGTCCCTGGGCTGATGCTCCCTCAGAAAAGATGATCTCAGGAGAGGTTGGCTCTGTGGCTTCCAGGCTTGCACTGTCCCCTGAAAGACATCAAACATACAAAAGGGCCTCTTAGGAATGCCAAGATGGGACAAACCAAACCACCATACAATGAGAAAATAAAAACAAAAATTGTGCCTCTGTGCCTGCTGGGTTTAGACATCTCTGAAACCCAGGTTTGCCAATTATTTCCTTCCTGGTCCCTGGATATTTTGAAAGGGAGGTCAGAGGGTGAGTCTGGGACAAGGGACAGGGGTTTTGGAGTAGAGATACCTTCTTACTTCCATACATGGCATGGGTGGACAGAGTAATACTGACCCTGTATGTGGTAAGGACATCTTATGGTACTGTAAGAACACTACAAAGGCATACCTAATGCAGCCTAGCTAGGAGACAGGAAGAGATGGACGGGGGTTCCCAGAGAAGGGACCCCACATGGTGAGTCCTAATAGAGATGCAGGAACTGACACATCCGAGAACCCGGGAAAGGATGGTGCTGCCGAGAAAGTGGAGCTGGCAGGGACGGGGAGGCTGACGCCCAACTTCCTGACCTGCATGATGGTGGGCATGAGCACTGCCACTCCCAGGACAGAGCTTATCAACAGGAACAAGTGCTGAGCGGACCTAATGACTTGCTACGTGAGAAGAATGGACAGATCTGTCCTGGAGGAAATGCAGCTGGAATGCTCCTTGGAAGCGAGAATGACCAGACTTAATCTCACCTACTTTGGTCAGGTTGTAAAAAGGGACCATTCCTTGGAGAAGGATATCATGCTTAGGTAAAGTAGAGAGAGAGTCAGTGAAAAAGGGGAAGGCCCTCAATAAGATGCATCGACACAGTGGCTGCAATGATGCACTCAAGTATATCGAGGATTATAAGGCTGGCACAGGACCGGGCAGTGTTTCATTCTGTTGCGAGCAGGGTGGCTGTGAGTTGGAGCTGACTCGACAGCACCTAAAATAACAACAATATGCCTGAGGAACAGCCAGGTGAAAAGATAGCAAAACTAGCATCTAAATGAGTAAGACGGTAACACTTTATTTGAAGACATAAAAGAAGATCTATATAAATAGGGAAGTTAACAACATAAAGCTGCCAATTCCAGCCAAATCAATGCATGAATTCAACACAACTTCATTTAAAATTCCAACTGGGCTTATCATGGAACTGAACAAGCTGGTTCCAGAATTCCTATGAAAAAGCAAAGGACCAATGATATCCCTGAAGGAAAATAAGGAGGAAGACCTAACCCTATGAGTGAACAGCATTCTTCTGAAATAAAACATTGTCACAGCAAGGTGGAACAGACAAAGAGCTAAGACAAAGTTGCAATGAGAAAGAACAAGCCAAGTAATAGGCTCCCACGTACACAGAACCCTGTCACACAGCAGAGCAGCTCAGGCGTTGAGAGGAGAGACACTTTTGGAAACTCTGGTTACTCACATGGGAAATACTTAAAACCACATTCCTGTTGCATACCATACCCCAAACCAACCCAGATCAGTAAAGACAGAAATGTCAAACACCACATTGTAGTACTTTTAGTATAAGATAAATGAGAGTATGTTTTTGATGCTGGGGTAAATCAAGATTACTTAGTAGTAAGACCATTCATCATAAAAGGTTTTATAAATCAGACTACACTACAAAAAAAAAAAAAAAAATTTATTCAAAATATACTTTAAAGAGAGTGGAAGTCAGTGAAGGCAAACATGGGTATACGGGTGGATAGATGGGTGGACAGGCTGAACTATTAAATATGTCTGTGAAGTGGGGAGTGTATCCAAGAATATGTATAGGGTTGGCAGACAATAGTCCTATAAGTTTGTATGAATGATCAGAACTCCCAGGTGTAGAGCAGAGCTGACAAGGGGCAAGGTTGTAATCACTGCTTGGTCACAGCCAGCTACCCAGAGGTACTGAGTAGTTGAACTTGTGGGCTTGGGACCACAGTTGCAGCAGACATCAAGTTCAATTGGGATAACAAACTACACAAAGCATTGTTCTACCTCCTACTTTGGCGAGTAGCGACTGGGATCTTAAAAGCTTGCAAGCTGCCATCTAGATGCAACAATGGGTCTCTCCTCATCCAGAGCAAAGAAGAATGAAGAAAACATGCATGGAAACAAAACTCAAGCATTTGGAGAAAAAAAAAAGGGTGGGGTGGGGTGGGGTGGGGGGACCAGGTTTGCTGGTCCAATAGAGCCTGGTGGAACCACTGAGACTATGGCCCCTAGCTGCCCTTCAGGTCTGGAATTGAACCCACACCTGCGGCTTCCAGCCAAACAAAAGTCAGGCATATGAATTGAACATTTAGCTGAGGTAGATACACTCCGTGGAGAGAACAATCATGGGAGAAAGAAGGGCTGCTTATGTACCATGAGACAGCTTGGGGGGCAGGAGGGCATGGAGGGATGGACACAGGGAAGAGGTAATTATCAGGAGGAAGTGGAAAGGGAGCTGTTGCATTGTGGTAAATTGTGGTCAATGTCATGAGACAAAGTGTATATGAACTGCTGTATGGAAAGTGAATTTGCTCTGTAAATTTTCACCCAAATCACAATTTAAAAAAAAAAAAAGAGAGAGAGAAAGAGAGTGGAAAAGTAAGGTTCAAACCTAGGAGAATATATTTGCTCAGGATGTAATGGATAGAAAATTACTATCAGGAATGTACAGATAATCACTGCAAATAACAAGGAGAAGGGCAAACAACTGAAGAGAAAATATCACACATCATTCATTTCACAGAAGATAGAGATGGCCACAGAACATGATGAAGTGGCTGGCCTAACAATGACAGAAATACAAATCAAGACCACATAAGATGGCTTTGTCTACTGGTCTGACTGGCAAACATTAAGGAGTAAGTACCATGTATAGAGGAGCTCTGGTGGCATAGTGCCTAAGGCACCTGACTGCTAACCAGAAGGCTGGCAGTTCAAACCCACCAGTCATTCCTCGGAAGGAAGGCTGGGAAATCTACTTCCATAGTGATACCGCCTTGGCAACCCAAGGAGGGGTCGCTATGAGTTGGGTCCGACTCGGCGGCACATAACAACAACACAACAACCACGTATAGGATGGGACATGGAGCAATGGAACCCCTTGAATTTTCCTTGTGAAGTTAAATTGGTATAATGCCTTTAGAAAGCAATGGGAATTATCCTGTGAAACTGAACACTCAGAAAGCCTATAATGCAGTAACTTCACTCCTAGAAACGTTATGGGAGCTCTGGTGGCATAGTACCTAAAGCATTTGACTGCTAACCAGAAGGCTGGCGGTTCAAACCCACCAGCCACTCCTCAGAAGGAAGAATGGGCAATCTACTTCCGTAGTGATACTGCTTCAAAAACCCAAGGAGGGGTCGCTATGAGTTGGGTCTGACTCAATGGCAGTGCGTTTGGTTTTTGTTTTGGTTTAGAAACATTATTGTTATGGATTGAATTGTGTTCCCAAAAATATGTGCTGTGAATCCTAACCTGATACCCATGGACGCCATCTCATCTGGAAATGGAGTTTTCTCTGTTGTGTGAACGGGGCCCTTCCCCTTGGTGTAGGTGTGTCTTAAACCAATCATTCCTGAGACACACAACGAGCGGCCTAGGCACACAAACAAGAAGGACAAACAGGGAAGACAGAGCCCACGTGAAAATCACCAGGAAATCGGGGACCAGAAGCAGAAGGAGACAAAGATCTCCCTGAGAGCTACCAGAGAGCCTTCCTCTCGAACTGCACCCTGTCCTATCCCCTTAGACCGTGACAAAGTCATTTCTGCTCAGTGAAGCCAACCACTTGTGGCATTTCCGTTTACTGCTGCAGCAGCTTCACCAAAACAGTTACCAAAAGACACTGTGCACACGTGCACTTGGACCGACCCATGCACATGGATGTTCACAGCAGCACGCGTGAAAAAGAATGAATGTGCCCAATTCGATCTCCAGGGAGTGGAAAACTGCACTGCGAGAGAGCCGTGCCAGGGAACATGACAGGACAGCAGGACACCAATGAAGGAGCAACAGTGCCCCAAACTGAAACGGCAATAACGTCCATCAGGGGAAACACAGAACGAGCGGCAGGTTTTCACATGAGAGGTATCAGCTGACCTCTGACATCGTGGGTGCCGTTCCAGACCACCACAGAATAGTGAGTAGCTCAGCAACACAAGTCACACGAAGTTCTGGTTTCCAAGAGCATGTGATACTCTACTGTTGTCTACTTAATGTGGAACGTTATGATATGGTACTATGAGAATGACCAAAATGTGACACTGCAACACAAAGTGAACACGTGCTCCTGGAAAAGTGATGTCGACAGGTTTGCTTGATGCAGGGTTGCCACAAACCTTCACTTTATAAAAACGCAGGATCTGCAAAGTGCAGTAAAATGAGGTATGCCTGTATCACCCAGTCCAAAGATGAACCAAATGCAACCAAGTGCAGCCACACGGACGGACAACATTCCCACAGACACAGTGATGATCAAGGGGCACAGGCATGACAGAAAGCACATGAAAACCCACTGGCATTGTCTTGAATCTGACTGATGACTCTACAGCACAAGGCAGAACTGCCCCACAGGGTTATCCAGGTTAGAATCTTTAGGGGAGTAAATCACCCGGCTTTTCCCTTATGGAGCAGCTGGTGGGTTTGAACCACTGACCTTTCAGATTGCAGCTGAACACTTAACCACTGCACCACCAGGGATCCTTCCAGAAAGCGTACTAAAAAAGAACAAAAACAAAAACCACTGCCGTGGATTCGATTCCAACTCATAGTAACCCTATGTTGTTGTTACGTGCCGTTGAGTTGGACCCGACTCATAGCGACCCCTCCTTGGGTTTCTGAGGCGGTATCACTACGGAAGTATATTGCCCAACCTTCCTTCCGAATAGTGACCCTATAGGACAGGGAAGAACTGCCTACTAGGGCTTCTCAGGGTGTCAATCTTTATGGCAGCAGACTGCCTCATCTTTCTCCTGTAGAGGGCAATGGCCAGTGCATTTGAACTGCTGACATTCTGATTAGCAGGCAAGTGCTTTACCCGTACTCCTCCACCATGGCTTCTTCAAAAAGCTTATGAACTAAAAACCAAACTCACTGCCATTGAGCTGATTCCAACTCATAGTAACACCCACTGGGTTTCTGAGATGCTAAATCTTTACAGAAAAAGATTGCCCCATCGTCCCTCTGTGGAGTGGCCAGTAGGTTTGAACAGACAACCTTCTGCTTAGCAGTCAAATGCCTTAGGCACTGAGCCATCAGAGTACCTTCAGAAATCCTACACCAAAAAAAAAAAACAAAACTCACTGCCGTGGAGTTGGAAACCCTCCTTGGGTTTCTGAGGCAGTATCACTACAGAAGTAGATTGCCCAGTCTTCATTCCGAGGAGTGGCTTGTGGATTTGAACCACTAGCCTTCTGGTTAGCAGTCTAATGCCTTAGGCACTATGCCACTAGAGTTCCTAGAAAGCCTATAATAGAGTTCAATTTATATCCATGCAGAGTCTAAAAGAATGTGCTGTTGAACATGTAAATACAATTCTCTCTGTAGAGGGGATCCCGACTGCAAGGGGGCACAAGGATCCTGCTGAGCAGTGAAGCGTCTTCTACGTCGCCTTTGGCTCCACATATGAAAACATCCATCAAGCAGACCTCTTCCGACCGCACACATCACTGCATACAAGGTACACCGCAATCAGAAACTGAAAGGCCACCAGAGTCGAGGGCATACATGGAACCCCAGGAGAGGCATCTCTTTCAAGAACAAGAACGCTCCTCCAAGAAGCTCAGGTGTTCAAGGAAGTCGTCAAGGCCAGGCTGAGGCCAGTACACAGCCATGTGGGTTTTCACTTCTTTATTCTCTCTAAGAGGAATGAACAGAAACATGTTCTCATGCCGAGTACAGGGTGGAGCTGCAGAAATGACTGACTAGGCATGAAGAAGGAAAGAAGGAAACTCCCTGCAAAGACGTCATGTACACTCTGGTGCCGGAACTGGCAGGGTAGGTTAAGACCTCCTCTAGGATACCACCAAGATTATGGCCCTTAGTCATCCTTCAAGCCTGGAACTGAACTCAGCCCCCGTGGCTCAACTTTCAGCCAAGCAGACAGGTCTATAAGATGAACAGTAACACGAGGGTGGTATGAACTCCTTAGAACAATCAAGCACACGAGATCAAAAGGGCAGCATGTGCCCAGGCACAGAGCTCAGAGGCAGGAAGGGACAGGAAAGAAGGACAGATGGAAATGCGAAACAGGGAGGAAGCAGGAATGCAGTTACATTGTGGGGATTGCAATCAATGTCACAAAACAAAATGTGCGTGAATTAGTGTATGACAAACTAATTTGTTCTGTAAACTTTCACTTAAATTACAATAAAAAGTTAAGAAAATAAAGGAAAACACCCACAAAAGGAAGCTATAAACATGAGATTCAGATCAGTGTGAAATGGCTCAGGGTCCTTATGGACACAACTGTATTCCCCACAAATGTGTGCTGTAAATCCTAAGCCCTGTACTTGTGGCTGGAGCCCAGGTGGCACAATGAATTAAGTGCTTGGCTGCTCACCTAAAGGTCAGCAATTTGAACCCATCAGCTCCTCCAGGGGAGAAAGATGTGTTTGTCTATTTTCCTGAAGACGACAACCTCGCAAACCCTACTGAGTGGTTCTACTCTCTTACAGGTCACTGTGAGTCAAATCGACTCCACAGCAGGGGTTTGGTCTACCTGTAGCTACAACCTCATCAGGGACTGGTTTTTCTCTGTTATACAGATGAGACCGTATTAGTGAGGGTGTGTCTTGAGTCACTCTCCTCTGAAATATGAAAAGAGGAAGGTGAGATGGACAGACAGAGGCCACAGCACATGAAGATCACCAAGAAGCAGAAATGGCAGCTGAGACAAGCACCTTCCTCCAGCGGCGAGAGCCCTCCCCTAGATCTGTGCCCTGAATTCGGACATCCAGCCTCTTAAACTGAGACAAGAAACTTCTGTTTGTCAAAGCCACCATCTCGTGGCATGCCTGCTACAGAGAACTCAGAAAGGGTAGAGTGCCATGAGGAGGCGGACCTGACTTTAACATGAAAACATGCTGACGCGTCACTGGCTGGGGAGGCCGATCACCCCGGGGGGCCGGTGCGGGACACGGCAGCCTGACCAGAGGCTTAGAGCAGATGTGGGGGGACCAGGTAGGAGTCTATGAGCAGCATCCAGGACAGCTGATGAGAGCTTGGGCAAGTGTGGGCCAGAGCTGATGGAGGTGACAGACTCAGGAGGTGTGTGTCATGTGTAACGGTAGGACCGGGGGGTGGCTGGAGGAGGTGGAGGTGTTGAGGACTGAACCAGTAAACAGTCCTCTGACCTGCTGAGCTAGCAGGACCTATCACTGAAACTCAGGAGGTGGGAGGAGCGGGCAACATCATGGTTCCTTGCTAGGCAGGCAGAGAGGTAAGACCTCGCTGGGGTCACAAGGCAGGTCAGAGGTGCCTTTGAGACAGTCACAGAGAGATGTAGAGATGTGGGATGGAGGAGGGGCTAGACTGAGACTCACTGACTGGCTGAGCAGCACCAAGGGACCAACAGAGGGGAGAGGGCACTAACCAACATGCAGGCCAGCTCCCATAACCTCAGCAGGCCAGATGGGGGCTGAGAAGGCCAAGTGGCTCCGTGAGGTTTCACCAAACAGTAGAGGCAGAAGACATGGGACAAGAGACACCCTGAGCATCTGGGTGACAGTGCGAAGCACAGGTGGATGAATGTGGGAGAAGACAAGATGCAAAGTACAGCTGGAGAAAGCAATCAGGTGCCAAGGCAAGCTCTTGTCTTCAGCATGCAGGAGGAAGCGGACTGTTGTCATTACTGATGGCAGCTACTATCAGGACCTGAGTACTGCTCACAGCTGACTTCTGCAAAGCCACTTGCTGTGTGTCTGGCGCTTATCTAATTACACCATCAAAGCACCTGATCATGCGGAAACCATCACCACTACCACTTTTCAAGACCACAGGGTCGGCAGTTGACTGTGTTCAGCACACAGCTTAACCACTTGTCCACGTGTACCCACTGTAACCAGCCTGGTTCCTACGAGCAGACTGAACGGATCTGGGATGTTGCAGAGGTAGCTGTGACCTCTCTCGCCTCTGTCCTCTGCCAGCTGTCGGATGGTGATGAGAGGGGACTCCTGGGGCCTCAACACCTACTGTGTGCTCCAGAGCTCTGATCCCGTGGATCTCATATGAGTGAGAAAAACTATTACCATGTGCTGAGCCCTGATTTGAGTTTATCTGTTACAGCAGCCAGCTTGGGTTGCAAGGCTGGCGAGTGGCAAAGCTTACTATTTTTTGAGCCTGAGTAGCCAAGAGCCCATAGCCTACTCTTAGCTTACACAGGCACATCTCAGAGATGCTGCAGGTCGGTTCCAGACAACTGCAATGAAGCGAATACTGCAGTAAGGTGAGTCACGTGTATTGTCTGGTTTCCCAGTGCATATAAAAGTGATGTTGATGCTATATTGTGGTCTACTGAGTGTGCAAAAGCATGATGAAAAAGCCTGAAATGTTGTGAGAATTACGAAAATGGTCACAGACAAAGGAAAGGAGCACACGCTTTTGGAGAGCTGGTGCTGACAAGACTTGCTCGAGGCAGGGCTGCCACCAACCTTCACTGTATAAGAAACCACGATATCTGAGAAGCGCAACCAAGTGAGTGCAATCAAAGAAGGTACCCCTGTACGCCTCTCCTCCCAGGGGCAGCGAAGCACTGGGAAGAAAGGAAACCCAGGTGGAAAGGCTCCAGGGCACCTATGTCCCCAAAAGGAAATGACAGGAAGTTTCCTGAAGGGGTCCAGGTCTCACCATCTGCAGGCTGCAGGGCCTCAACTGGCTGCTCCCGGTCACCCACCTGGACAGGTGCTCTGGGACAGGTCTTTCTTCATGGCCCACAGCTCCTGCCTGAGCTCCAGCTCATAGATCAGCTCTGGCTTAGGCACAGGACACCCTGTTCATGGAGAAGGAAGAGGACACAAGGATTTTGTGAGAAGTGATGACACCTCAGTGGAGCCTGGGACATCATGGTGGGAACGAGACCTCAGAACGAGACCGCTTCCATCCAAGCAAACAATGCTGACAGCCTGGAACCAAGCCAGGGCGCAAACACCGTCCCTGGGCCCCGAAGACTGTGGACAGTCCTGCTGGCTGTTCAGGCAGCACCTGCCCCTCTGACTTCCGGCCGGCAGAGTCCAGCTCTGTTCAGACAGACTCATGGCACCCAAGGGATGGCCCCTTCTTCCAGAAGTTGTTGTCCATTCATCCCAGTCTGGGAGCCTTCATCTGCTTGTGCATTAGAGCCCCTGGGGCTGTCTGGTTTCCATTCACAGATCCACTGACACCACATCTCTGAGGGACACACCTGCACTCAGTGGATGTCACAGCTCCTGGGGGGTTTGATTCCCAGGGAGGAGTGACAAGCACAGGTATCCTCAGTTTACCAACTGTGTCCTGGTCACCATCGTCTGAGGTAGACAGATGACCTAACTGGCCACTCTGTGAAGCGCAGACCTTCACTCCAGGAAGGCTGAATGGGGGAACCTGCCACTACTATCGACCCAATGTATCCTGAGACTCCTGCCAGAGAACCTGCTTGAGGACCTGGACCAATGAGCAGAATCAAGGAACCAGAACTGGGCTGCCATCCACCAGCCCAGAGCCAGCCCCACCCCTATAATTCTCATCAGGTGAGATGATACAGTTCCTTCAGGCAGGACTTTAAACTAGTTCAAAACAGTTCAGTGATTATCATGGTCATTAAGGGCCAAGTATGTGTTGCATAGCAACCAAATCTCTTGCCCATGGTATCTGAACCCAACCAAAACCAAAACCAAACTCACTGCCATCGAGTCGAATCCAACTCAGAGCAACCCCTCCTTGGGTTTCCGAGGCAGTATCGCTATGGAAGTAGATTACCCAACCTTCCTTCTGAGGAGTGGCTGGTGGGTTTGAACCACCAGACTTCTGGTTAGCAGTCAAATGTCTTAGGCACTATGCCACCAATAGAAAGCAAACAGCTGTGCCCTGCTCAAAGATGGCAGCTTGGAATGTCTGCTGCTCTCTCAAATCCTTCCTCCTCAAAGTTTCAGGAGCCTGATGCAGGAGACTGGATTACTGGCAGCACTCCGGAGAGCAACACGCACTCAAAGCAGGGTGGCTGGCCGCCATCTTTGGGCAGGGCACAGCTGCTCTGTTTGGTACTCGGGTCAAAATACCACTGGCAACAGATTTGGTCACCATACGACGCATATGTGCTCTTGTTTAAGACAGCAATTACTGAATGGTTTTGACCAGCTCGAAGCCCCACCTTCAGGGTGAATCCCATTGAGCTGTCTTCTGTTAGACACAGCCCAAAACATTCTGACAGATGTGTGGGGGGGGAGGGTAAAGGACTTGAAGACTGTATATCAGTCAATGGCCGAGGCACCGGACCCAGAGAAGCCTTGCCTGGCACAGCCTGGACCACAGTTAACCAGCTGACACTAAGCAAGTGCTCACAGGTGTCTGCTGTCAGCCTGGCACCGAGCTCAGTAATGAGTCCATGGAAAAGTGGAACCTCCTTTAGTTCCGTCAGGAGTTGTGCTCATTACCTCAGGGCACACATTGGTCCCTCTACCAAGAGCACTTTTCTCGCCCCCACCGCATCCACATGCTGAGTCTAACTCTTTGGGTCTTAGGTCAACTGTCACTTCCTGTGAAGGCTTCTTTGAAATGCAGCTCTCAAGTCCAAGTGTTTCATCAATTTGCCACACTGTCACAGAAGTTTCAATCCTAATAAAGACCAAACCCACTGCTGTGAAATGGACTCCAACTCATAATGTCCCTATAGGCAAGAATGGCACTGCCCCACAGGGTTTCCAAGGCTACAATCCCTATGGAAGCAGACTGCTCATCTTTCTTCCAAGTGGCTGGTGGGCTCTCACGCGATGCCACTAGCATTCCCCACCCCCAGGTGGAAAGATCAAACACCCATCCAGAATGGAAACAGAATAACCAGAACAGAAATAACCACGTTCGCGCGTTGTGAACAACAGGCCCGATGTCACGCAACAACCTGTGTAGAAACTGTTGAATGGGAGCCTCACCTGCTGTGTAAACCTTCACCAAAAACCCAATTGAATAATTTAAAAGAAAAAAAAATGATCCAGACATTGTCAAATGCCCGCTGGAGACAAAGCTGGACTGCTGTGAAGCACTGCTGTGAACTCATCCCTTGCAGCCGTGCAGGATCGGGGCCCAGGCTTCAGGAAGCCATCGGCGATCCTCAGGCCCTGGGGAATGCAGACGCCCTGCCTGCTCAGCCCTGTCCCGCAGAACATCCGCCACCCAGAGCCCTGCTAACTGGGCCACGGGAACACTGAACCCAGCTGAGCTGGGCCAAGAGGAGGATCGAGGCCAGCCTCCGCTAGGCACTGGGATGAGAGATGAGGAACTTGGTGGCCTTTTCCCATGTCAAGGATGCCCCACAGAAGCCAGCTGCACACAGAGAGAGAAGTGACGCAAACGTGCACAGATGTAGTGACGAGGAACCTGGGGGCCCCAGAGAGCAAGAACCAGAGGGGCTACTTGGTACTGCAAACTCGCAGAGGCAGAAAATGCCACTGCGCAAACACAGTGACGGGAGCAGACCCACAGACAGAAGCCAGGACAGGGGATGATGGGGTTTCTCAGAAGCCCTGACAGCATCCCTCCTGGGGTCCAGCTGTAGCGCCTCCCTCTGGGTTCTGCGAGACACCAATTTCCTCCAACATATCCTTAGCTTCTGGAGGTGAGCCTAAGAGACAGCGAGAGACCAGACAGGGAGAGACCAGTCCAGAAAATGCCTCAAGCTGAAGGGAGAAGGGAGTGTGGGCGCCAGAGGCTGTCCTGCTGAGCCAAGTCCGGAGTGAAGAGGAGGTGAAGGAGGCGCAGGTCACACAGATGAGAGGCGCGGCCTTACCCAGCGACACCAGCAGCCCACAGTTCTCCAGCATCACCTCCTGGTACAGGCTCCTCTGGGTCAGGTCCAGTTGTCCCCACTCCTCCCGGGTGAAGGTCACGGCCACGTCCTCAAAGGTCACAGATACCTGAAGAGCCAAACAGAAGCAGGGGTGTTGACCTTGGAAAGTGGGATGGGAGTAGAGCCTGTGTGTCAATGACCAACATGCAGAGGAACTCACGCCCCAGGTCACTGAAGTCACAACTCCTGAAGGCCTAGCTCGGTGCTGGGCTCAGCATGGGGAAGGCCATTGCTTCAGACAGAATCGACACAAGAAAGAGAAGCCTCCACATGGGACCAACAGAGAATGGTGGAAGACAATGGCAATCGCACATCAACTGTGAAGTGCCGACAGTAAGGGCAAGGATGACAACAATCACACCAGCAGCTGCATCCCACAGGCCCTCACCTCGCTGTGCAACTGCCCTGTGCTGAGGGCTCAACATGCCAGGTTCAAGCCACAAGTCTCCAGCTATGAAGCCAGACTCTTGAATCTGGCACTGACCTGCTGAGTGACCTCAGTACGTCACTTCACTTCTCTGAGGCTTGGCTTCCAAATCAATACACTAAGACCTCCCACTTCACCCACAACAGTTATGAGTTGCAGACCACATTCACTGCTTGGCAGGCTTTGGGATTAATCCTCTCTGAGTCAGTAGGGTGAACACCATTGTCCTCTCTACATCAGAATCTGCAGTCTCTACCAACCCACCCACAGTCCCACATCTTATGAGCTGGGCCAGGGCTTGAACGCAGGTCCCTCTGCTCCAGGGCCTCCTCCTTCACCAAAGTGAATCCACAGGAACAAGGTTGGAAAGCGTTTCCAGTAATTTCTCCTGTTAAATCCACTAAGCCATTCCTGAAACCATGTCTGTGAATGTGGGCAGAGGAGCAGAGTTGTCATCACTGAACTCACAGATAAGCGCCCTCAGGTGGCACCTGCCTGAGGACTGGCAGTGGCTGGACAGCTCCCTGCACCCCTGGCTCTGTCTGGGCCTAGACGATTCTCAGGGAGATTGACAGTGAACTATCAGCCTCTTTATCCTTCCAAAAGAACACAGGCCTCTGGCTGAGGCTGGGATAACATCCAGCAAAGGACCACATACTCTCACCTTCCTTGTACCTGTCTCAGCAGGTGTGTGTGTAGAGGGTGGAGTGGGGGTGATCGTGGCAACCACAGGCTCTCTTGGGGCACCTGAAATAACAAACAGACTTCACCTTTGTCTACATACTCCTCATCCTAAAGCCCAAAGTCACCTGCTGGGAGAAGGACCACCTGCCTTGCAAAGTTCACTTTAGGTGTCACCAGCCCAGGGTGTTAGAGTGAGTAAAAGTACATATTCTGGTGGTCAACATAATGGGTTTGAGTTTCTGGTACTTAAGAGCTGTGTGACCTTGGACAAGTAACTTAACCTCTCTGAGCCCTGGGCACCCCTTGTGTAATAATACTAGCCATAACACTGATGAGTTAAGGATTAAACCAGGTGATACATGACTGCCCAACATCCTACATCAAAGACTCAAAAGCGAGCAACCACAGCTCTTTGCCTACGAGTCTTCATTTTTCTTTTTGCTCCCCATCATGGAAACCCTCCACCCCGTAGGGTTTTGTAATTTTTCCAGATGTCACAAAGTTGGTAGAGGCAGGCAAGCAGGGCAGAAGCTACTTCAGTCTCAACTGCCAGAAAAAGCCTCTCCACATGGGTGACCTGTGAACAGAGGCCAGAGCTGTGAGCAGGAGAACTCTCCAGAGCTCTAGGGACAGTGTCCCAGGCAGGGGTCGCTGCGAGGATGAAGGATGAAATGGGGGAGAGACTAGTATGGTCCCACAGGTGAGCACTGAGCAAGGGACCGGAGGAAGGAGACCAGGCTGGAGGTGGTCCGGCAGGGTGGATCCAGGGCCAGCGCTGCAGGTCCAAGGGGCGCTGGGTTTTTCCTAAGTACATGGGAACCCCTAGAGGGAGCCTCATTCATTCATCAACAACTCATCGAGCAGCGGTCGGTCCGGACACTGTTCTGTGGTGGTTGGGTGGGTGCTGACAGTCCATTCCTACCCTCAGTGACCCCATGTGACGGAGAAGTGTTCCCATAGAGTTCCCTAGGTTACGGGAGCAGATCGCCAGGTCTTTCTCCCGCGGAGCCGCTGGAGGGTTCAAGCCCCAGGCCTTTCGGATAGCCCCAGGCCGAGCGCTTAGCCCTTGCGCCACCAGGGCCCCGCGGGGCCAAGTGGGGGCTGGATTTGTTCCCGGTGAGTGAGACGAGGACCCCAGGAGACGCCTCGTTCGTTCTTCGACAACTCGGTGAGTTACTGCCGGAATCCCGACACCCGCCTGCGGCTGGGGCTGAAGGAGCAAGGCGCCCAGGGCGGAGAAACCCGGGGCGTCCGGAGCCCGGCCCGCTCCCCCTCGGAGGGCTTCCGAGACTTTCCTCCGCTCACCTGGGGCAGGTCCGTCAGCGCCGCAGCCATCGTGGGGCCCCGTGAGGAGCGCGCGCACAGGGGCGGCCCGGCCGGGGGGGGGCCTCGGTCTCCCCGGGGGAAAGCGCACAGGCCCGGGCGCCGCCCTTGGCACCCGGGGGGGGTGAAGGAGGCCCGGAGGGGCCGAGGGACACCTGTCACCGGGGCTCACGACTCGAGCACAGGGGCTCGGTCCCGACCAGAGGACCAGGGAGCGGCCCCGACCTAGCCCTCAGCGTCCCCAGGGCCGCGGGGACCAAATTGCCACAGGCAAATGGCGTACGCTCTGAGGCAGCCTGAAGTCCCGCCCCGCCTACGTGGCCGCCGGAAACGCCCCTCTCCTTGGCCGTCATTGGCCGGCGACGTACGACGGAAGCCTTCTGGGTAACGTAGTTTCCGGCTCCATTCATCCGGCCGAGGAGCGCCTCTTCAGCAAGAAGTCTTCAGTGTAAAAGGCGCACAAGGTCTAAGGCCCTCGTTTCCAAGGGTACGGAATGACGGATGCGGGGCCATTCATTCTGCGACCCAGGAAACCGAGGCCCGGGAGGCGGAGGGATTCACAGGGAGTAAGACCAAGTACAATCTGCTTTCGTGGTGACACTGCCTTAGAAACCCAAGGAGGGGTCGCTAATTGGACTCCAAGGCACATAACAACAAGAAGACCAAGTGCAAAGGCGTGAATACAGGCTCTGGCCTAGGCTCATCCCTTCCCAGCTCTCTTTATCTCGTTCCTGGATCCTTCCCGGTTGTTGTGTGCTGTGGAGTCGATTCCGACCCATAGGGCCCCCATGTGACAGAGTAGAACTGCCTCACGGAGTTTCCTAGGCTGTCACCTGCTAGGGAGCCGATGGCCAGGTGTTTCTTTCGTGGAGCGCTGGTGGGTTTGAACTGCCAACCTTCGCTTGGCAGCTGAGCTGTTAACGTCTGCCGCATCAGGGCTCCTTATACATTCATTACCACTCCAAATAGAAAATATCAGCAGGTTCTTCATGAATCTTATTGGAGGGAGTGACAAAGGAGCAGGCCCCTCCCCCATCCTGAAAAGAAAAGGTCAGGAGGAGGATGCTGGGAGTGCCACCAGGCTTGATCAGTACACAGAGACAGCCTTCTCCCGGGCCATCTTTAGCCCACTAATGGCTGCAGGCCTGCAGGGTGCACGGACATCAGGGTAGGATAACTGGCTCCAGCAGCTGACAGTGCCGTCCTCAGAGATGCGGAAGCTATGAGTGGAGAAAGCCCAGGAGGGAAGCTCAGGGCTCCAACTTGGAATGCCTTTGTTTCTGGCTATCCTGCTCCAACTCATGGCGACTTCCTGGCACGACACTGCCTGGTCCCAGGCCATCCCCGTGACAGGCTGCAGCTGAGACTGCTGTGATTCATAGGGTGTTCACTGCCTGACAAGCACACCTCGGAGCTATTACAGGTGTGGTTCCAGCTATTACAGGTGTTTGTGCCTCAACAAAGCCAATACTGCTATCAGGTGAGTCACATGAAGTTTTTGGTTCCCCAGTGCACACAGAGGTTATGTTCACACTATACTGTAGTCTACTAAGTGTGCAAGAGCATGAAAAAGTTTGGTAGTTCACTACCAAAATCTGACAGCGACAGGAAGTGAGCCCAAGCTGTTGGAAAAATGGCGCCAGTAGACTTGCTCCGGGGAGGGTTGCCACAAACTCTCCATTAGTGAAAGATGTGTTCTCTGCAAAACACTGTAAAGTGAGGTGCATCTGCCAAGTGTCTTTCTTCCTAGTTTTTGGAAAGGGATACTGATCTCAGACCCTTGGAAATAAATGAAGAAATCGTTGGTTGGCATGGAGTCGATTCTGACTCCTGCTGACCCTATGTTCAGAGTAAAACTGTTCCATAGCATTTTCATCCAAGGCACGTCTGGAGGAGTTTGAACCATCAGCCTTATGGCTAGCGGTCAAGAACTTCACCCTTGTACAATCCACAGACTAAATAAGAAGAGCTGTTGTGTGCCCGTGAGTCAGTTTCGACTCACAGCAACCCTATAGAGCAGAGCAGAACTTCCCTACAGGGTTTCCTAGGCCAGGTCTTTTCTCCCAAGGAGAAGCTAATGGGTTCAAACTGCTGACCTTCCAATTAGCAGCCAAGTGATTAACCACTGCGCCACCAGGGCTCATAAATGAGAAGGAAATGCTGTTTGAGCTTGTTCTAGCAAGGAAGTCAGCGCTGTTACCTGTTTGGCAGGGACTTGAAGGCGGGGGAGTTGCAAAGTTGATAGTGAAAAAAGGGCTGGCTTCAGATACGCTCCGCCTGGAGGCTGCTGGCCTGGGGGAGCCATAGGTGGCACTAGATCCAGGACAGCCTGTGTGGCTAAAAACAACAAAACCTCCAGTGTCTGTCAAGCTGACTCATGCATGGCAACCCCACATATGCAAAGCAGAACTACACTCCACGGTTTTCATGGCCATGACCTTTAGGAAGCAGACCACCAGGCCATCCTTCAGAGGCACCTCTGGGTGGGTGTGAACCACTAACCTTTTGGTTCGCAGCTGAGCATTTAACCATCTTTACCACCCAGGGACTGGTTAGGGCACATACTTGGCTTCCACTGGATGGTAGTAAATTGGAAGTGGAGGCAACAATCAAGGAAGGTGGCAGCTACTGATGGAGTCCAGGGCATTTTCAACCAATTGCTGCAGAGGACAAAAGTCAGAGACCTATTTTCAGCTAAGATCCAGCCCTCCATTTGCACATGCAGTCTCTCAGAACTCAGTGTCTCCAAGTACCAAAGACTCATTGGACCGGCCAATCAGAAGAGTGGAAAGGCAAAAAGATTTTCTCAAAAAATTACCTTTGCTATCTTTGCTTCTTATACTTTGGAAATCTACATAAAGTGCTCCGATAGTGGGGTCAAGCAAGGCCCTTGACTTCCCTTCCTGTCATGATTTCTATAGGTAGTTTGGGAAAACCACCCAACATGTCAACATGGGAAAAACCACCACCCAGCATAGGGGGAAATACCCCAATGCTCTTGTCTGTGATACAAATGTTATACCTTCTAGTTGGAACACTGGCCGTTGTGCTAAATGGCTCCCACACTGTGACCTGGGGCAGTTTGTACACTTCCTATCTTCAGTTCCCTATCTGTGGATAGCAGGCATCCATCTCAAAGCAGTGAAGCACATGAGATCACTGTATGTGACATTCTTAGCAGGCTTTCACACTTAATTATGTTCTGTGGAAGCAAAACACATTGTACACCTTGAGCCAAACCAAAAAGTAGGGTCACCTGTCCTACCCTGGCTCTGAAAATAAAGCCCTTACATTTCCTGTAAGTTGCTACAACTCCTTAGAGTAACCTCATACTAGACATTTACAGTGCTGTCAGAAGTTGTGTGATGATCCTGATATAACCGTCAGGCAAGCAAACGATTCTCCACCATGATCAGACTAACATAAACTTGATAACCTCAGTAATATTCTCCCTTAAGTGACTTTTTGTTTTTACTTGTTTACAATTAAGTCCTTCTAAAGCCTGATGCTCTTACAAACTCTTGTAGCAAGTCACCATCTCTTTGTTCCAAACTTATTCTCAGACCTCTCTGTATTAGTCATTGTTATTACTTACCCAAGATTCCAGATGAGACTTGAGGCTCACAGGGGTGAAGGCAAATCCACAATATTGCAGAGCTTGTAAAATGCCAGCACAAGATTTGCATGAGTGTTTCAAACTCCAACCTCATCGTGTGATGTGACACAAACTCGCTGGCCCTCAGCTTCTGCTTGCGGTTGGCTACTGGAGCACTTCAGCAGCTGAGCAGATGGAGAGGGAGGCTGCCACGGTGATTCCAAGTCCCCGACAGCAGTTTCGGTGCACTGGATACAAGCCTCCACCCAAGATCACAGCTCCCTTCAAGGAGCGCCTGCCTGGCTCAATTCCTCATCTCCTGGGATGCTGTAACTGCCCTTTGCCCTCACTCCAACAAGCCCAGGAATGCCAACCACCTCACACTCGCTAGCCTTAGTTTTGCATGAGTCTGTGGGCTTTCCTATCACTGCGACCACATGTTTCTAAGAGTTCCTTTCTTGAACTTTTCTAATGATTCTAATTACAGTATGGCGTTTTCCTCTCCAGACCATGACAAATGAAGAATCAGAAAAACAGCTTCTCTCATAGTACAGTGCCTTTGTGTCATTTTAATGACTTTGACTCAGTCTCTCACTTGGCTAGTATTCTGTTGATTCTACCAATGGGTTTTTGTTCAAGATGAAAAAGATACACTTGTGTATGGGATGGAAAACAAATACCAATACCCGTTGACAAATTCTGAGGTAACCTAACCACCCACCTCTTTGGAGGGTTCCATGTTCCCTCTTGCGAAGTCCTTGCAT